GAGTAGTATGAATACTCCTTGATCCATGGTTTTTTACCAATACACTAGAAAAGTGAAGGAATTATCCTTTTAAAGTGGGATCCTTGTGCTCCATCATCCACCTTACTTGAGGCAAGTTCTTTGGTAGAGAAGATATAGGAGATGATGAAGGAACATTATGACCAAATGAACTAGAAAAAAGCCATCACCTATGTAAATAAAATAAGAATTTTAGTACTATAAAAAATTATTTTACCTTGGGGTCAAAAAAGAATCTCTATGTGTCATGCTCTCTGGTGAAGAAGCTTTGTGTAGACTAATCCTTAAATCTAAGAGACCTTGGACCCATAAAGGTCTACGAAGGCATGCATACTGTTGACGAATCACTATATGCCGTGCTCTCTGGTGAAGAATCTCTGTGTAGATTAATCCCTAATTTCAAAAGACCTTGGATCCAAAGGTCTATGAAGCTCTATACATAGAAACCCAAACCCGTGAAGGTTTGGGATGGCTTATTATTGATGAAGCTCTACATGCCATGCTCTCTAATCAAGATGCTCTGTGTAGGCCCTAGTCCTTAAATCCAAGAGACCATGAACCCGAAGGTCTATGAAGCTTTGGACCTAGGGACCTCGAACCCTTGAAGGCCTATGAGGGCCTATTATTGTTGAATCCATACAAGTATGCCAAGTGGTGAAGCTCTAATTCAATATGTTTTGTAGAAGTGAATAGAACTCATGATACCTTGACAACGGATGATGTCATGAACAAGTGTACACAGTATTCCAACTATGAGATTTCATCTTACTAATAAGAGAAACAACTATAGAGGTATTGAATGGAGATAATGTGGACAACAATCATATTGCCAACAAAACATGGAAAAGCCTTGTTCAAAGAGAAATAGGTACCTGGTTTCTACGACAAACAAGCATTTATCTATACTAGGGGTGCTCACAGTTCGATTAATCGAACCATGGGCCTATTTTTGAAATCGAATCAGGATTACAGGTTTTTAGAAAACTGGTAATTGAAATCGAATCGAAACCAATCGATTAACCAGTTGACCAGTTTAGTTAATCATCAAATTTTTTGGTTTTTTTATATTTATAATATATATTATAAAAATATATAAACATATAAAAAAATAAAAATATATAATATTATATTTTAAATAATAAATAGTATATTATATATTATAAATATATATCTTTATATATAATGCATATTTATTAATTTATAATATATAGAAAATATAAAAAATATGTAATATATATAAATATACATAAAATATATATATATACCGGTTGGTTCGGTTAACCACCGGGTTTCTGTATTGATTAATCAAAAACATCAAACTGAAACCAAATAGATCAATTCGATTGACCAAATTTTCGATTCTATTATTTTCAATTTGATTCGGTATTTTGGTTTTGCTTACTCATCCTTATTCGATACCAATGATGGCAGCCTACAATCCACACAACAGGGACGATTTTCAATGAAAATTCATTAGCCAAGTGGAAGGAAAAACAGCCATGCGAATTAATGGGGTTACAGGAAGAGGTTGCAAATATCAATGGTGTTATACAAAATTTATCTCAACCTTTTATTTTTATTTTTTTTTAATTTCTCTTGATTCGATGGTAGAGATTTACTAACAAGAAATCCAAGAGACGAGAATACATATCTTGGTTGAGGCAGCAATATGAATCATCTTATATTGTTTTTTATTTTTAAAATCAACTTCTAAACATTAAAATAATTGTGGTATAGGATGGTATCGGTAAAGACAATGCAAAATCACACATTGGCCAATAGCGGCTAAAATAATTAATTAAGAGTGGTCCTTAAATTACTATACACATTGACCAAGTAGTGTTGTAGTCTGGTCAAATTTGAACCCGAATCTATTTGTTCTAAAATCTCAATAGAATTAGGCCCCGTTTGGTTCATGGGAATAGGGGTCTGGAATCGAAATCAGAATGGATATTTTGATTCCAACTGTTGGTTGGATGGAATCGGAATCCTATTCTCATTCTTGTTGGAATGACATTCCCCCATTTGAGGGTATGGCCATTTCCTGTCCTTCCTTTGGTAATAAAATTCCATTCCTGCAGATTTCAATTCTCATTCCCATTCCCATTCTTGTCTGAACCAAACAGATTATGGGAATGAATCATTCCGGTTCCGATGGATTTCGATTCCAATTCCAATTCCGACTATGAATCAAATGGACCCTAATAACGTTTGAAAATTCCTATGTTTTTGTTTTCACTTGTTTTCAAAATTGCCATGTCAAAAAAAAAAAAAAAAACTTTGTTAAGTTTTTTGTTTTGAAAGTGAAGAGCAAGATGGTTTTTTACCAAAAACAAATTATGTTTTTAAATCCATCAAAATAAAATTATGTTTATCTAAAACTAAACATGAGATCTTTTGTGCATCTCTTTCTGACCAAATATGAGAAATGTTGAGGTCATTAGCCATATGAAGAGCAGCTCTAGAAGCTCTTGCTTCATAGAGTTTGGGGTCCGAGAGTTCTGTTTGAATAGCTCTTCCAAAAATGAATTTACCAAGGCTAGAGTGTGAATTACCTTTAGCCCCATCAAGGTTTGCCTTCACCATTTTAGAGGGAGGAGGATCAAAGATGGAGAGCTTAGGTTGTGTTTGGTTTGAAGGAAAAAGTAGAGAAAGGAAGGAAAAGGTAGGAAAACCTATAGGGAAAGGTAGGAAAACCTATACTTCCTTTCCCTACCTTTTCCTTCAAACCAAACATAGCCTTAGTGATTCAGAGAGTTGTGGCTGGACCAGTTCTATGACTAAGGAAGGATTAATATCTTTATTTTCCATTACTTTCTTGCATTGGGCCTTCCAACAGGTCCATAGGATGATATGGAACACTTAGGCTATGTTTGATTTGAAGGAAAATGTAGGCCAAGGAAGGGAAAGGTAGGAAAACCTCTACAAACCATGTATTGGTTTTCCTGTCTTTCCCTTCCTTTCCCTACCTTTTGCTTCAAACCAAACATAGCCTAAGTGAAGAGACTTAGGTCACTCTTGGGACTTTTCTTTGGCTCTTTCCACCAATAGGCAATCCACATGTCTAAGGCTCCAATCCGTATGGATTTTGCTTCTAAAGGCAATGCACAAACCAAACCAAATAGAATGAATAGTTGAGCAATGCAAAAAAGAGATGATCCTGTTGGTTCTCTTCTTCCATATTACACAAGCTACAAATGCTCTCTATCTTATTTGACCGACAATCTAGGTTGGATTTAATAGGGAGTATGTGTGTCATACTTCTCCACATGAAGGATGAAGCATTGTATAAAGGAATTGGGGTCTACTCCTCATTGAGTATGCCTCACATCGACCTCAAAGCCGCATCCCACCTTGTATTGGGAATATCTCCCCATGAATAATAAATATAAGTACATGAGATGTTTCTAATGTGTGGCCAGGACATGTTGTGAGATCAATGTGAGGCACATTTTGTAAGGAGAAGATCCGGGTTGTATAAAGTGGGTTGTGCCAGTATGGCTCGTCGTGATTTTGTGGGCTGCCCGTGACTTAGTGGGTTGGGTCGTGTCGACATGTGGGCCTAAGTGGGTTAGTCAGGCTCGACATGGAATGTGACACGAGCCCAAGTGAGCCCATGCCGAGCTGGGTTGGGCTAGGCTATGAGTCAAGCCGTGGGCCAGGGCCAAGTCTTTCTTTTTGTTTTGTTTTTTCATTTATTGCTAAGTAAAGTCTAAAGATGATACAAACTTTGGAAAAAATAAAAATGAACAAAAAATACTTAACAAAATACAAAATATACAAACTTTATAAATTTTATGTCATTTAAATTTAATGGATACAAAGTAAAAAAAAAATAAATTGAAAAATACAATGGAATAAAATATAAAAATAATATAATAAAATTGAAAATAAAAATTTATAATGGTATTGTAAAAATAACGATAATAGAAAATTTTAAATAAAATTGAAAAACACAATTTACAATAATTTTAAAAATGCTATACAATTATTGAGTATACAAAAAAAAATATTGACTTCATTATTTTCTTCAAGTTCCACCTCCATCTCCTTGACCTTGATCTATATCATCTGCTTTTGGTGAAACATTAGGTGAAATTTCATGTCCCCCTCAATCTTGTGGTCTATCCTCAATATTCAACCAATCATTCAAGCATATACACATCTCTAGGCTTTTATTGTTCATGCAGCTTCTCTTGTCATCTAATACCTTAGTACCTTCACTAAAACAAGACTTCGGTGGAATTATAGACACTAGAGGGGTTAGTAAAATTAGCTTGTAAATAAAAATTAAGTTCGGCGAATGAACTTGGTGATGAAGTGGCAGTTAGTTTTTGTCTTTTTTTATTATAAACTAAAATTTTTCTCCTCCACTACTAGAACTAAATGTTTCAACAGTGGAGGCTATATTTGTACAAGTTCTCCTATGTCATAATAATTGATATTAATATAAATTATACACTTCAAATAATAAATTATTAATTTCATCTTTTTTGTTCCAATTCAGTTATCATATTTTCACAATAAGATTCAACCAAAACATCTAAACAATTAATCTTTGTTAATCCTAGGATCTAATATTATAACTTAACAATAGAGAAGAGAAACATTTCCTAATATTTTTTGGGTAAATTTCTTGAACTACCTTTATGGTTTAGTTAATTGACTAAGTGTACCCTTACTGTTTGAAAATTGACTAACACTACTCATATTGTTTCTGACAATTGATTAATACTTCTCTTAGTGATAGCATCCATTAACAAAAGATAAAAAGACTATTTTACCCTTTATTCTTTTTCAAAATTTCAAAGTAAAACAAAGAAAAGGGACATCAAAACCCTAAATTTAATTTGGGGTAAAACTTTGCACTAAAATATGTTTAGATTCCAATTTGACGCGAGAGAGAATTCCCTCTCCGCGTTTCAATCAATGTTAAGAAAGAAAAATAAAAATAAATTACGGACCCAAATTAGTAGTGCCAATAGAATGCGCAACTGCGATGTACAGCAAGCAGCGAACGTGGGACACACGTTGCCAGTGAAGGTGCAGGCCGATGTTGAGCTTCAGCCTTCAGCCCCAGTACTTCTACTGTGTCCTCAGCACAACTAACCTAAGGTGATTGTTTAAAATCTTTTTTCTGGATGCCTTTCCTTTCTTGGTCGAAAGTCGCCCCAAAGCAGTTCTCTTGCGATTGTTTCTGACGATTTGGTCGCTTAATTACTGGAACTGTTTGCTGGGTCGCGAGTAATTTTGCTTTTTTGGTTCGTATTTCCTTACTTTATGCGAATCGTTCAATTCTTTTTTTTTTCTTTCTTTTTGGGTTTTTTCCTTTCATTAATGTTTGTCCGTTTCTTATTTTTTGTTTTATTGATATTTTTCTGGTTTCTTCATTGCTCGTGCTTCGAATTGGATACTGGGATTGTCTTTTATCTGCTGAAACCAGCTCTTTTCTTTCCATCTCTGTGCTTTCGAGTTTTTAGGAATTGCAAATTAGTAATTTGTATGTAATTGTTAAGTCCTTAAATTGATGAATGCAAAGTATCTTGTCGCCTTTAAATTGAAGAATGGCTGAAGAATGAAATTCCATTGCTTCATTTTCTCCAATCTTTTCTTTCATGTACTTCTTGATGTTACTGTAGAATTTTACAACTAGGGCCTTACAGTTTTCAGTAAATTTATGATGGAATAATAAAAATTAGTTGTTAAGTTTTCTGTTTCGTGGTCCTTCATTGATGAGTTTCTACCAGGCAAGCTCCTATTTTTTACGTTGGTTTCTGCTTATGTACAAAGGTTTTGGTTACATGTGGAGCTTCTGCGACAAATCTGGATTACAGTTTGAAAACCTGCCATTTAAATGGTTTGTTTACAAAAAATCTTTACTTGTTATTAATGTTGAAATTGGATTTCCTTGTTTCCGACGGTTTGATCGCATGATAGTTGGAACTGTTTGCTGGGTCGTAGGTAATTTTGCTTTTTTGGTTCGTATTTCTGTACTTTACGCGTATCGTCCAATTCTTTTTCTCTTTCTTTTTGGGTTTTTCCTTTCGTTAATATTTACCTGTTTCTTATTTTTTCTTTTGTTGATCTTTTTCTGGTTTCTTCATTGCTCGTGCTTCATTATAATTTTTAATAATTCAAAGAGGAGGCAAAAGTACAGTGCCGGTGCCGGTGCCGGTGCCGGAGATGCCAGTGCCGGTGTGTCAGAGTCGGTGTGAGAGGGGACAAGGAGATATTTCGTCGGAGCCATGCCGATGCTGGTGCCGGTGTTGGAAGTTATAATAAGGGTAAGTTGGATAGTAAGGGTAGTTTAAGAAATTTATCCATATTTTTTAAATTTAATTTTTATTATTTCAATAATGTTTTGAAAATTTAAATTACTTTTATATTTTGAAAAGTATTCACTAATCATAAATCAATGATTAACTAAAATACAAGAAGTTAAGTAACAACCACCTGAAAATTCATTACTTGTATCATAAAAAGTTTGTAAAAAATGTTTTATACAAATTGTAATTTCCCAATTATCATTAATTAATTATAAAATCAAGGGGCATTTTCTCATTATAAAAATTAGTAAGAATATCTTTGTATGAAATACAACTCTAATGTAGAATATGTGGAATTCCACTTATGTTGAACATTTAATACAAAATTTCCATATTTTAAACCATATTTTTGACATAGATATTTAAATTCTTGTTTTATTGTACCATAACTTCTACATAATACAATTTTTAATTTTCTAAATATGGTGAGAAATAATATTTAAAGCATATTGAACACATAAATTTAAGATGTGACATGCACATCTAATATGAAATAATTTACCATTTAAACATGATTTTAATTGAGATTTTACAATATTTATTACTGAATCATTATTATTAGCATTATCAAAAGTAATGAAAAAAAACTTTATTTTCAATTCCATAAGTATGTAAAGTATTTAATATACTTGTAGCAATTATTGGGCTAGTATGTGGCCATTCAAGTCTCATAAAACTTAAAATTATTTTTTGTAGAATACAATGTTCATCAATAAAATGTCTTGTAACACAAATATAACTTATATTTTATTTGAAAGTCCAAATATCGAATGTAAGTGCCATTTTAGAATTAAGAGTTGACACAGTAGAAATTAAATTTTGGTTATAGGAATAAAAAATTTTAAAACATTTGCTCTAATTGTATTTCTAGAAACTTTTTTTTTTTTTAAATTAGGGATTTACTAATTGTTGTAAAAATTTTTCTAGCCTAGGGTCTTTAGCTAATAAAAACAGTTGTTCAACATGTACAATATATTTAGCTTTTCTTGTCTCATTTTTTCTTAGTAATATTGAAAATTACAAAAAAAGTACACCTAATTTGTGATTAATTTATTGTAGAGAACTCTTTTTCCCTTCTCGTCAACATTTTCTATAGTAAATATTTCCTAGACCCAACTAGGCAACTTCGACTTTTCATTCCCCTAGTAGCAATACTGGGGGTGGCTCTTATAACATCAAGTATAGAACGACTAGCAACGATATCGGTATTGTTGTACTGTGACTATACATCCTCACTGCTAAACATGTTAGGGAATTGATTTTGATAGGAATCGACCATTTTTAAAAACTTAAAGTATTAAAATCCTAAAAATGAAAATTAATTACAAAATTGTAACTTACTCATTCCACCTATCTGGAATCCCAACCTGATTTCAATTGATGAAGCTTTTAAGCCTCCTAAATTGCTAACTTGAGATACTTGAGCAAGCCTTCCTTTTGTTGAATCTTGAATAAAGTTGAGAATCAGGGACTAGGGAGCAAGAGATTAAGAGAGTATATGAGAGTTTGAGAGTTGGTGTGATGAGAATGATGGAGGGTAAGGATATTTGTAGGAGTTGAAATTAATTTAATTAATTAAAATACCCTTAAAAACTAGCGATTTTATAGTTGTTAGGAGGGACATTTTGGTCTTTCTAAAAGTTAACTATCACTTTACTAAAATGCCCCCAAAACTAGTTGTTATATAACTATTGGGGACATTATTGTCATTTTTCCTCCCCCAAATCCAAAATACATAAATACCCCCTAACTAGATGTTTATAGTTGTTGGGGGATATTTATGTAAAAAAACCCTCCCAAAAGCAAAAAAAAAAAAGCCATTGGGGACCCCCCAATGACTATATTCTAGTAGGTGGGCCATGCCATGCCGAGCCACGGGCCCATGCTAACACAACCCACTTGTTTGGTGCCGTACCATGCTGTCCCACAAGCCTCCAAATCCAAGCCTGGCATGGTCCGGTTGCTACAGTGACGGATTGGGCCTAGAACGACCCATATCATGTCAAGCTATGCCATCCCTCAAGCAACATGATCCACTTTACAACTCTAAGTGAATCTTTGGGGTGAGCTCTAGATTTCCAAAATTTCTTCCATGGGATTCGTTACAAGTTGATTGTTAGATGAAGCCACCTTCTCTTTGATCTTGAGATTCATAGGGGAAGGATAGAAGGTTGACTTTCAAAATTTGATTAGCTATCAAAAGTTCAATAAGATTTGATGAGATCTTGAGTCCAACTTCCATGTTCAAATTCAATGAGACTCTTCACTTTTTGATTGCAATGATTTAAGCTTGTTTTAGGTAGAATTTGAAATAATTAAGGTTCACCATAAATATTGGTTAACAAGCCTTTTGAGATAAGCACTTAGACTCCCTTCAAAAGGTCTAAGTTGGTGAATTTGAGTTCTTTTTGATGTTCTAAAAGGAGGAGCCATGACTTATATATTTCAGTGTCAAGAGCCTTGTCCAAAGATTGTCATGTTGGTTTAGAAATCACCAATATAGCTTCATTAGAAGGACTATATTTTGAATGGCAATTTCATGAATGCCCTAAATCCCCAAAATCTTTATTGTCCATGAACATTGACCATCCCTAGTCCCTAAAAATAAATATGTTATTTTCCTAAAGAGAATCTATTGTCCCTATTTGTTTTGGTGATAACAAACTAATTGAGAATATTAATGATTTGAAAAGCATGAAAAAGTTAAAAGAAGTATTTATTGATATGAGACAAGAAGAGAAGCTAATTCAAATGATGAATTGGAGACTCTCTAAAAATAAAGAATGCTACCAAGGAGAGAAAGAAAGAAAGGACATCAAACTCCAAGGTTTTTAAATTGTTTCTTATCTTTCTAGGACTTGATGTAACCAATTGCAAGTTACACTATATGGGTTTAAATGAGACCAAACTAGGTTAACCAAAACTTAGAGACCAACATTTAATATTAGGTCTAGATCTTAGGTGTTCCTGAACTTAAAAAGTAATTTATCTAAGTTTGGAAGCTTAAAGAAATAGTTTTTGGATCATTGGAAAAGAAATATATAAGTTTCTAAGGTTTTGAACAATGAGTAGCTGACCACATCAAATGATGAATCGACTAACCATGACAACTGAGGCCCATATTTATGAAGTTATTGTTTAATAGTTGACTACAACAAATGGTGAATAGACTAACTATGGTGACAATTATTGAGTAAGCTAAGTAATTGACTACCAAAAAATAGCAATCAACTAATATACGAAGAAAATTTTCTCACATGATTTCTATTTGACCATTTGAGTTTTAACGATTCTTTTCTCTTTGGTAAGTGTTTCAAGCATGTTAGAAATCATCTCTAAAGTGTTCCAATAGAAGATTGATTAGCCTTCAATGTTCAAATAATGGTTAAATAATGGCTATATTGTTTTGTCTATAAAAGTTTGTGAGAAGAAGAAAGAATGTGAATGCAACCATGCGAGATTCAAAGGGTTTATTAAGAATTAAAACAAGAGGGATTCGCGAGTCTTCGAAAGAGTAGAATTATTGAGTCACTTTTGAGCTAAGTGAGTGAAAACCCTTGTTCTTAAAGGATGAGGAAAACCCCATTTGATCTTAGAGTGTTTATTGTGTTATCTTCTATGTTGGGTAGTTTTGCTTGTAATTGTTCTATTAGCCTATCGAGAGGCACTTCATTGTGTTGATATTTCAATGTAATATCTTGAAGATGTAAAAGATTTGGATTGGACCTATAAGACTATTCATTGGGATTGAGTCTTTAAGGAGTGGGTAGAGGTGCAATGTATGGTTTGGTTGGCACCTAAAAACTCAGTCTATTTTAGTGGAAAGGATTAGGTAGGGTACTTGGGGAGAGGACGTAGGATGGGTTTGGTCAAACCTTTATATGAACCTTGTGTGTACTATATATTTCCTTGTTCTCTATTTTTGTTTCACACACTTTCACTTCAATCAATTAGTTCTCTTCATTAATGTTTCTCCATAAGAATAAGGTTCAAAAAGGAGATCAGTTTTCTTAGAAAAATGAGAGAACCCAATTCACCCCCTTTTAGGTTATATGCTAACTAGGCAACAAAAGCCCTACTAGAAATCTTGAGAAATAGGGTTAAGCTTCATAGAAGTAGATTGGTGAAATGACTAAGTTGCCATACAATAGGAGGGAAGAGAAGAGATGGTGATTTTATTAGCACTTCTCTCCTTACGTGTGAGAGGCAATTGAATTTTCAGATCCTAAGCTTGTTTTGGTATTTACCTATAACAAATTTCCATGTTTCACTGTTCTTATAGTTAAGAAGTAATAGTATACCAAGATACTTCTTATCGTTCATGATGCTCGCTCCCATTACCTCTGCTAATTCAGCCATTCTTTAATGATGGGCATTGCCATTGAAGTAGATGGAGGATTTTGAGAGATTTATTTGTTGCCCCAAGAATCTTTTAAACTTGCTAAGAATATTTTTCACCTGGCAAATGTTTTACTCTGAGAACCATCCAAATATACGATGTCATCAACGAAGAACAAGTGGTTTAATTTTAGGCAAATTCTTGCAAGCTTAAAGCCATAAAGAGAGCCATTTTTCAGATTGTGCATGAAAAGGCATGAAATCATGTCCATATATGGGATAAAGAGATATGGAGAGAGGGGATAACCTTTTCCCATAGTTCCATTAAGATGAATATAATAAGTAGTAATTGTGATGCATTCTTAAATGATAGAGAAAACTTGCGAAAGGTTCTAAATTAAGCAAGAATTCTCACTCACCTTTATCATAAGCTTTTGAAAGATCTATGTTCAACAAAAAATTGTCATACCTCCCTTTCATCTTTTCATTAGTGATAGAAGTAGGAATGATAGAATCATCAAAATTATCAAAAGTAGGCTGTGATGAAGTAAAGAGTCTTATAAAAAACTTATGGACCATGGATATAATGTAGTGCACATTAATTCAAAGTCCAATTGGGT